GTTCTTAATTTCTCCTATGTCATTCTTCTTTTCCACTTGGTTTGTTTTCAATGTTTCTATATCTTTACTCATGGTGCTGATGTCCTTACTCATGCTGTTGAGATTCCTCAAGAGCATAGCTCTGAACTCTACCTCTGATAACTTGCTTAGCTGCATTTCATTGATCTCATCTTCGATAGAGTTCTCTTTTCTTTCATTTGGGATTTGTTTGTTTGTTTCACCATTTTGGTTATCTTAGCGGGTTTTGAAGCCTGCCAAATTTTTCCTGTGGGTGTTGGTGTTCTGCTTTTTGTGTGTCTCTCTACTAGGTTTGGATGAGCCTGGGTGGGCCCACGCTAAACACCACTGTCAAGTCTTACTTTCCTGGGTAGATTTGCAATCCCAGGAAATGTTCAGTTATCCTCTAGCTTTTTCCTGGTGGCCAGTAGTGTCAGTTACTCAGTGCCTTGGAATGTAGCTCTGGTGTTCTGCATAAGAGTATTTCCAGAGGGCAGAATAGATGCTGGTTGTTAATGAGGCTCAATTTGTATTTCTTTGCCCCTCCTGGCAATGCTGAATCTCAGAGGGGTGGGCTGCTGCTTTTCCCCACAGCTCAAGGAAGGAACACACTGGCCACCATTGTTTGTGGTCACAATTCAGCAAAAACTCTGAGTGCCCTCCAAATCCTGGGTGTCCTCACAGAGTTCCAGCCCAGTCTGCCCTCCCTCTGCGGAACCCCCCAGGTGAGTGGCTATGGCTATATTAGTGTTCTGTCCCAGTTCTCTGCACTGTGGAGCATGCTTGGTCTTTATTCCACAAGGATGCTGCTCACAGTTAAGACTGCTGCTGTCCATGGGCTCTCAGCACGCTACCCTCTTGTGTCTCCACAGATCCTATCATTGTTCCTGGTTATGTAGTCCTGTCCTGCTGCTTTTCTGTTGCTTATTTCTGAAGATTTGTCTTTATTTATTTTTAATTCCTGTTTGGTCCTGGGAGATCAATTGCGTAGCTTCCATTCACTTCGCCTCCATTTTCACATTCTCTCTACCCATCTTGTGTGCAGCTGGGTTGCACAGGACTCTCTGGTCCCCAGCACCCTGCAGGTCCCATGGGTAATTGGCTCGCACAGTTTTTTGGGGGACCTGGCTCTATGCCTATCTTATGGGCTGCTGGGTCACACAGGCCACTCTGGTGCTTCAGCACTCTGCAGGACCCATGGGCAGCTACATCATACTAGTTTCTCTCAGGCTCTGGCTTCCCACCTCTCTTGTGAGCTGCTGGACTGCACAGGCCTCTGGTCCCACCGCTGGTGGCTGGGGAGTGCTGCTGTTCCATGGGGCTCAATTCCTACTCAGCTTTTGCTGATGGGTCTCAGCTGCTAATCTGTGTTTCTGTTGCCTGGGGATGGACGTGTGCTCCTCAGCCTCTGTTGCTGGAAGTATATCTGGACTATGATCAGGCTGCTACTATAGGGGATGGTGCTGGGCTACCAGCTGTCTGTGGCTTCCACGACTGGCACCTTGGGAGCTCCACTACTGTGCACTGGTCTGTGTTGACACAGAGTGTCCACTGGTCCGATGGTGCCAGGTTTGCTTGTGGGCTCAGTTTTCTGGGTCCTAGCTGCTCCCACTGCCTCCTCCCAGGGAAGACCGGGGATCTTCCAAAATGATTGGATCTCCCAGTGGCACAGGCAGAAGCACCCTGAAGAGCTGTTTACTACGGTAGCCGGCTGTTCCTGTCCACAGCACAGGGACCTTCTGCTCCGTGTCTCTGCATTGCAGGAGTTTGGTCATCCACCTTCTCGTCCACTCACATTCTCTCACATAGTAGCTCATTCTCTCACACAGTCACACTCCCTCCATTCCTGTACACCGCCGTCTTCTCTATTCGTTTTCTCTTTAACTGCTGCTTGGCATGGAGTGTACATATCCTCACTGGTTTTCAATGATTCTGATACACACCCCCATTTTGAAAACTGCTCATACTAGGGTTCCTATTTAAAACAGGTCTACATTTTTCTTGAGTAATGGGTGGGTGGGTTACTCCTGGGGCTGAATACCACCAGGTTTGGATAGGGATTCAGGTTGCAGGGTTAGGCCTGTCCCATGTAGATGAGGGGTGGGGGCACTCTTTTCATGTGTCTGGTTATGCCTTTTTCTGTGTCAGTGGCCATGCAGTGCCTCAGCGACATGTTCCAAGTCCTTTGACGTGAATGGTCCATCCTCCTTCCCACAGTCTCAGTCTTGGAGTGATGGGGCTGGCCCTGGATGAAGGCTCCTCCCTAACACTACTTCCTTTTTCAGGTTGAGCAAAATCCCCCCCTCCACACACAGAGAAACAACGTACCTGTTGAATCCAGGACTTAAAGGCATGCTGGTTCGGCTACTCTTCTTGCCCACTTCTCATCAGATGGGTCCACTATGCCCTACCAGGGCTTCCTATTCCTGAGGTTTAGTGCAGACTTTGTCCCCTGTTTGTTACAGTTTTATATAGTTTATGTTTTTATTTTGAATCCTCATTGAGAATATACCTATTAATTTTAGAGAAAGGGAAAGGAGGGTGAAAGATAGAAATGGAGAGATAGAGAGAGGGAAAGAAAAAGAGGAAGGAGGAGGAGGAGAAAGAAAGAAAGACATAAAGAAAGAAGAAAGAAAGAAGAAAGAAAGAAAGAAAGAAAGAAAGAAAGAAAGAAAGAAAGAAAGAAAAAGACAAAAGAAAGAAAGGAAGGAAGGAAGAAAGAAAGAAAGAAAGAAAGGAAGGAAGGAAGGAAGAAAAATGAGAAAAGAGGAAGAAAAAGGAGAGGAGAGGGAGAAAAAGGAGAGGAGAGGAGAGCATACAGGTGAGCTCTGGTGTCTTCTTATAAAAAAACTTTATTGGTTTTTAGAGAGAGAAGAAGGAAGAGGGAGAGTTAGAAACATCGATGAGAAAGAACATTGACTGCCTGTCTCCAGCATGCCCCACACTGGGGATGGGGCCACAATCTTGGCATGTGGCCTTACAGGGAATAAAACCAGCACCTCTTGGTGCATGGGTCGATGATCAAGCACTGAGCCACACCGGCTGAGCTCTGGTATCTTCTTATAAGGACACTAATCTTGTTAGAGTTCATTTAACATCATTAACTTCCTAAAAGGTCATATCTCCCAACACACCACACAGGGGTTAAGGGCTTCAATATATGAATTTGAGGTGTTGGTGAATCACAACCATTCATTCTTAAACACCAGTTAACTAATACATATGTTTACCCCAGTTACCAGGTAAATTTAAGATGAACTATGTGTGACACTTGGTGGTTTCATGTTCCCTTATTTCAGGACTAGTTATGTATACCCTGAGAACCTGTATGTGATGAGTTATAGCTGGCTGGCTATACAAAAGGGTTGGGTTTCTTTCTGTCTTTGGAATCTCTTAACAGATTGTCTGTGATTTACATCATAGTCTGGTGCGACTATTCCATTATCACAAAGGTACCTTTGTGGGAACATTTTCTGAGTTGGCAGAAGACTTAGTTCTATTTTTTATTTCTTGGCTACTAAAAGTACCTGAAATAGCTCATTTCGTAGATGAGGAGAGGGAATAGGGAGCAGAGAAACAGGAATCACCATTGTATACCCATTTCAGAGGTTGGTCAAATAAGGTTTTAAGATATAAAAGGATCTGAGAACATATGAAAGCCAGGGTGGGGTTGCCTACCGATCGTCATTTCTCTTCTACTTTTCCTGCATTTGTCCATTCCTGCATTTTTTATTAGTCACCTGCATGATCCCCAGAACCATCGGAAGGAAAACACTATCCCAGCCTCCTGGTGGCTCCATGTGGCAGTGCTGAGGTTGTTATGATACTGTGGCTAAGAGAGTGGGTGCCTGAATCAAAGAGATAAGGATTCAAATCCAACCTCCGCCACTTGCTAGCTAAGTGACCCTGAGAAAGTTATTTAGCTCTTTTGACCCTCAATTCTTCACCTACAAAAGGTATAATAGTACCTAGTTCACTGGGTTGTTGTGAGAAATATATGTATAATAATGTAGGTAAAGTATATAGCATAGTGCCTGCACACGGATGGTTCTATTTTCAAATATATTTTCCCAAGACTACACTGCACTGCTTCCTCTCCCTCCCCCAAACTCTTAACCAGTTGTCCCAGCACTTTTCTTCTCTGATCTGGAACAAGGACAGTGACAGACAAGTCTTATTCTAGGTTTTCTGGATTCTTTGCTTTCCTCATTCAAACAGAGTTGTTTTTGTGGCAAGAAACTAATCCAGCAGTGACAGGGATGAGGGGAAATTAACATTCTGGTGGGGGTGGGCACATTATCTGGAGAGCAATTTTGTATTGTAGATCACCTCTTGGAATCTATCTTAAGAAAACAACCATTCATGCATAGACATACATACAATAATCCCATTAAAACACAATGTATAACACGGGAAAATGAGAATGGTTTGAGTGTTGAACAATGATATTAATGTATCTTGTATGCATCCATTTGATAAGATATTTTTGAAGAATATTTAGACAGATGTAAGGCTCAGATGTTGGATGAGAAATTTTCAGAAAAAAAAAATATGAACGGTAACCTTGAAAAACTTTACTTGTTTATATGACTATTATGCATTCAATGTAGACCTACAATTCTAAAACTATAAAATTATTCCAAACTGCTGACAGTAGTTAATGCCGAATGACAAGACCGAAGCAATTTTCATTTTCTTTCATTTCCTGATCGTCTTCAATTGCCTGCACAACTTGAATAATTGAACCCCAGAACCACCCCTCCAACCCAAGAACAAAGGCAAGAAAATATGGATGCTGAAATAAAACTCGGATACAAAATATTCCCTCAGTTTTATCTGCAGTGGGCAATATTTAAGCACCAATTAAACAGGATGGCAGAGAGTGCACAAGGGCCAGTACAGGTAAACAATTAGCTCCCCACCCCCAAATATAGTGGCAAAGACTGCAAAAATCATGGCCCTAGGGAAGGATGCACTGCCTAGGACCGGGCACTCTTGTGGCCTCAACCCCCTTTATCGGGCTGAAACTTAGCAGAAAACGAGGGCACAAAAGGCTGCATGGTCTGCACCACTGTGGAAAGTTGGTTGAGCAAGGAGGCTGTGGAAATTTGCAGGAGGTCAGAATCTTCAGCAGTTAATCAGCTAAGAGTAGAGGGGAAAAGAAAATCACTTCAGAGGTGGCAACTCCTAGCCTTCCTCACCCCAACCCCTCCCCGCAGGTGGCAATTCGACCTACTCCTTGATTAGAGAGGCGCTCAGGTGCGACAGACCCGGTGCCCCACGGCTCTCCTTAGACCAACATTTGGTGTCTCCACATCTCTAACAGGGAGCCTCTCAAGCAGTGATTGGCCCCACCTCCTGCTGCTACTCCCACTCAGCCCCTTCTAGAACTTATATAACCAGGTCACTGCCCTTCACCATGAGCTCCCAATGAACAGTCCCTTGGTAGGGTTCAGCACCTGGGATCAGGTACCTGCGTGCCACCTCCACATCCTTGTAGGACAGGAAAGGCACCGTGAGGGCGCTTGTGGAGTTAAGGCACCGTCCACACAGACTTGATGGTTCAGGCCCCCTTGACTGTCAGAGGCTGGTCTTCCACCAGGGGAGACCACACCTCTGGCCGCCCAAGGCCCTCCCGGATGACCCTCCGAGGAACTCAGCACCACAGCCTCCTCAGGCCACCCCCATGTCCATAAGCAACCGCGGCTGTTCCCCCACCACCTTGGGTCCCCCAAACTTCTATGTCCCCCAAGAAGGGCCCCCTGCTCCCAAGAGCCCCTGAAGCCTATCCTGCCCATCATCCTGTGACCCCCCCACTTCCTGCCCATACCCTCACCCTTTACTTCCATGGGGGAGGGGCTCCTTTAAAAAGATACAACTCCAGCACTTGGCCTCCCAGGTCAAGGTTCTGAGTCCCGCGATGCCCCCTCGACCTGGGGAGCTCCCTCAGTGGCAGCGCTTTCCACTCTGGTGCTGCCCCCTTCTCCAGGGCCCATGGGGCCCCCTGGGCCAATGGGTGATCCAGCACCACCTACCCCACTGCCCTTGCCATCATGGTCATCGGGGGCCTGCATGGTTGTGCGACCCACCACAAACAGGAAGACCCTTTTCACTCCCTGCTGAGAGACCAGCCCTTTCACGAGGTAATATCATAATGTTTGCATAGTGGCTGCACCAGTCTGCACTCCTACCAGCAGTGTACTAGAGTCCCCTTTTCTCCACATCCTCTCCAGCAATTGTTGTTTCATGATTTGTTGATGGTAGCCATTCTGGCAGGTGTGAGGTAATATCTCAGAATTGTTTTAATTTGATGATTAGTGACATTGAGCATTTTTTCATATGTCTCTTGGCCATTTGTATGCCTTGTTTGGAGAGGTGTATATTTAAGTCCTGTACTCATTTTTTAATTGGGTTCTTTGTCTTCTGTTTGTTGACTTGCATGTGCACTCTATGTATTCTGAAAATTAACTCCTTATTGAATGTATAGTTGGCAATTATACTCTCCTAATAGTGGGTTCCCTTTCCATTTTGATGCTTTTTTTTTTTTTGAGAAGCTTTTTAGTTTGAGGTAGTCCCGTGTATTAATTTTTTCCTTTGTTTTTCTTGCCTTCGCCATTGTATCAGTGAAAATTCTGCTGTGTGTGATGTCTGAAATTTTGTTACCTATATTTTTTTCTAGGATTTTTATGAATTCATGAGTCACAATTAAATCTTTTTGACTTTGTTCTTGAGTATGGTGTAAGTTTGTGGTCTAGTTCTATTTTTCCTAACACCATTTATTAAAGAGGCTATGTTTACTCCACTGTATGCTCTTGACACCTTTGTCAAATATTAATTAAGCCAAAGAAGTAAATGATGTATGTCTTGGGTCAATTTCTGGGTTCTCTGTTCTGTTCCATTGATCTATATGCCTGTTCTTGTGCCAGTACCAGGCTGTTTTGATTACAATGGCTTTGTGCTGTAACCTGATATCTTGTATTGTGATCCCACCGACTTTGTTCTTGTTTTTCAAGATTGCTGTGGCTATTCGGGATCTTTTATGGTTCACTATAAACTTTGGGAATATTTGTTCTAGTTCAGTGTAATATGTCATAGGTATTTTAATGGGGATTACTTTGAATCTATAGGTTGCTTTGGGCAGTACGGACATTTTAAGGATGTTAATTCTTCCAATCCATGAACAAAGTATATGCTTCCACTTTTTACATCTTCCTCTATTTCTTTTTTTAACGTCTTGTACTTTTCCGAGAACAGGTCTTTTACTTCTTTGGCTAAGTTTATTCCTACGTATCTTAATTTTCTTGCTGCAATGGAGGGTTTAATCTATTTATATTTGAGGTTATTATTAATATGTACTTATTTATTGACTTTTTGTTTATTGTGGTTATATGTTTCTTCCTATTTCTTCTACTAATTACAGAAATTAACATTTCATGCAGTCGTGGTTTGGTGCTAATATATTCCCTTAGCCTTTTTTTTGTCTGGGAAGCTCTTTATTTCACCTTCTATTTTGAATGATAGCCTTGCTGGGTAGAGTAGTCTTGGATTCAGATTCTTGTTTTTCATGACTTTGATTACTTCATGCCATTCTCTTCTGGCCTGTAGTGTTTCTTGTGAGAAGTCAGCTGAGAGCCTTATGGGGTTCCCTTTGTAGGTAACCTGTTGCTTATCTCTTGCTGCTTTTAGGATTCTCTCTTTGTCTTTAATTTGTGGCATTTTAATTACTATGTGTCTTGGTGTGGGCCTGTTTGGGTTCTTCTTACTTGGGACTCTCTGTGCTTCTTGAACTTGAATGCCTTCTTCCTTCACCAAATTAGGGAAGTTTTCTCTCACTATTTTTTTGAATATATTCTCTATCCCTTGCTCATTTTCTTCTTCTTCGGGAACTCCTATGATGCGAATATTATTACGTTTCCAGTTGTCCCATAGTTCTCTTAAGCTGTCTTCCTGTTTTTTAATAGTTTTTTCCTTTTGTTTTTCTGATTGGTTGATTTTTTCTACCCTGTCTTCTAATTCACTGATCCGGTCCTCAGCTTCCTCTACTCTGCTTTTTAAACCTTCCAATGTGTTTTTCATTTCGGATATGTCATTTTTTATCTCTTCTTGTTGGTTTTTAATTTCCAATTGGCTTATTTTCAGTGTCTCTATGTCCTTACTCATGCTGTTCAGCTTCCTCAAGATCATGGCTATGAATTCTAGCTCTGTTAACATGCCTAATTGCTCTGCATTGATCTCATCTTCGGTGGAGGTGTCTTGCTCTTTCATTTGGCTTCTGTTTCTGTGTTTCACCATTTTGGCTATCACTGTGGGCTTTGGAGCCTGTCAAGTTCTCCCTGTGGGTGTTGGTGTTCTGCTGTTTGTGGCTCCCTCTCCTGTGTTTAGATGAGCGAGGGAGGACCCACATTGAACACCACTGTCAAGTCTTCCTTTCCTGGTTAAAGTTGCCAGCCCAGGAAACGTACTGTTATCCTCTAGCTTTTTGCCTGGAGGCTAGCAGTCTAGGTTACTTGATGCGTTTTGGGTTGTCAGTTGATTGAAAAACTCCCTCTGGTGCTCAGCCAAGGGGCTTTCACAAGGGTGGGGCAGATGCTGGTTGTTAGTGAGCCTCAATTAGCACTTCAATGGCCCACAGGGTGGGGTTGGATCTCCGAGGGAGGGGCTGCTGCCTCTCCTCAGAGCCCTGGGAAGGAGCAATACGGCTACCGTCCTGAGTGGCTGCACTCAGCCAAAGCTCTGAGCGCCCTCCAAACCCCAAGTGTCCCGACACAGTTCCAGAATGCCGTCCCTCAGCCGGAGCCCAAGGTGAGTGGCTGTGGCTGTTTCAGCCTCTGTCCCGGCTGCGCTGTGGGGCCACCTGGGAGTGTAACCCGAGGGCGCCGCTCCCAGCTGAGGCCGCTGCCGAGCTGCCAACCGTGGGCTCCCAGCCCCGTCTCGTGCCTTCGCAAGCCTACCGGGATCGAGTCGGTGTCCCTTTGTTCGGTCCTTGCAAGCTGCTTTTCTGTTGGTTTTTCCCGTCGATTTGTCTGTGTTATAGTTGTAATTCCAGTTTGGTTCTGGGAGAAGGTCTGTGTAGCTCCGTTCACTCCGCCGCCATTTTTCGGTTCCTCCCTCTGCCCATTTTTTAATTGGGTTCTTTGTCTTCCTTTTGTTGAGTTGTATGAGTACTATAGGTATTTTGGAAATTAACCCCTTATCTGATGTATCATTGGCAATGATGTTCTCCCATAGAGTGGGTTTACTTTCCATTTTGATAATTGTATCTTTTGCTGTGCAGAAGCTTTTGAGTTTGATGTAGTCCCATGTGTTCATTTTTTTATTTGTTTCTGTTGCTGTAGGTGATGTATCAGTGAAAATTCTGCTGCTATGATGTTCGAAATTTTGTTGCCTACATTTTCTTCTAGAATTTTATGGATTTACGGGTCACATTTAAGTCTTTTATCCATTTTGAGTTTATTTTTGTGTATGGTGTAAGTTGATGGTCTAGTTTCATTTTTTTTGCATGTAGCTGTCCAATTTTCCCAACACCATTTATTAAAGAGGCTGTCTTTACCCCACTGTATGCTTTTGCCACCTTTGTCAAATATTAATTGAGTGTATTGCCTTTGGGTTCATTTCTGGGTTCTCTCTTCTGTTCCATTTTTCTATATGCCTGTTTTTGTGCCAGTACCAGGCTGTTTTGATTACAGTTGCTTTGTAGTATAACCTGATATTTGATATTGGGATCCCACCTACGTTGTCCTTCTTTTTCAAAATTGCTGTGTCTATTCGGGGTTTTTTTTGGTTCCATATGAACATTTGAAGTATTGTTCTAGTTCTGTGAAATAGGTCATTGGTATTTTGAAGGGGATTGCTTTGAATGTATACATTGCTTTGGGTAATATGGACATTTTAATGATATTAATTCTTCCAATCCATGAACAAAGTATGTGCTTCTACTTTTTTATAACTTTCTCTATTCCTTTTTTCAATGTCTTGCAGTTTTCTGCAAATAGGTCCTTTACTTCTTTGGTTAAGTTTATTCCTAGGTATCTTAAATTTTTTTGCCGTGATGGTAAATAGGATTGTTTTTTCAGTTTCTCTTTCTGTGAGTTCATTATTGGTGTATAAGAATGTGGTCAATTTTTTTAATGATAATTTTGTATCCTGCTACTTTGCCCAATTCATTTATTAAGTCTAGTAGATTTTTGATGGAGTCTTCAGGGTTTTCTATGTATAATATCATGTCATCTGCAAATAATGAGAGTTTTACTTCCTTTTTTCCAATTTGGATCCCTTTTATTTTTTCTTCCTGTCTGATTGCTGTGGTTAAGACTTCCAGTACTATGTTAAATAAGAGTGGCACAAGTGGACATCCCTGTCTTGTTCCTGTTCTTAAGGGAAATGTTTTTAGTTTCTGTCCATTGAGTATGATGTTGGCTGTAGGTCTTTCATATATGACCTTTATTATGTCTAGATATGATCCCTCTATTTCTATATTGCTGAACATTTTTATCAGAAATGGATGCTGGATTTTGTCTAATGCTTTTTCAGCATATATTGATATGATCATGTGGTTTTTATTCTTCATTTTGTTTATGTGGTGTATCATGTTTATTGATTTGCGAATATTGTACCAGCCTTGCATCCCTGGGATGAATCCCACTTGTTCATGGTAAATAATTTTTTTGGTGTATTGCTGGATCCGATTTGCTAGTATTTTGTTTAGGATTTTGACGTCTATGTTTATCAGGGATATTGGCCTGTAGTTTTCTTTTTTTTTTTTGTAGAGCCTTTTTCTGGTTTTGGAATTAGAATTATGCTGGCCTCATTAAACAAGTTTGGAAGTCTTTCTTCTTGAATTTTTTGAAATAGTTTGAGGAGAATGGGTGTTAGTTCTTTTCTGAATGTTCAGTGAAACTCACCTGTGAAGCTGTCTGGGCCTGGGCTTTTGTTTGCTGGGAGAATCTTGATTACCTCTTCAATTTTCGTAGTTTTTATTGGTCTGTTCAAGTTTTCCATCTCTTCACATTTCAGTTTTGGGAGATTATGTGTTTCTAGAAATTTGTGCATTACGCTTAGATTGTCGAACTTGTTG